TCGAGAAACTCTGTCAGCCATTTCAATCCCCTACCCTCACCCTATTTCATGTTATCGCGTCGCACAACTTGATTACAATTTACTTAATAGCGAATCTATGGTAGGGCTTTTGAATTGTCAATACTTACCCAATGCAGAGCGAACACGAACGCCTTGATCTGATTATGGAACTCGCCAAGCTTCTCGTCTTTCACATTTGTATACATTTCTGCGAGCTCTTTCATAATTTCGTCCTAGAAATCATAATTCATTGTTAAGGATGTAAACTTTTGGAATAATTCAATCCAATTACCCTATTGCACACCAGAGGCCAGCTATCTGGAACAGGAAGAGGGACAGTGTAACGGCCAGTTTGTGGCGAATTCACCTCGTTCCTTCAAAATCTTCATAAATGCAAAATTCATTCAAAAAGAAACATGTTCGCACTCAATAAACAATATCAAACATCAACCCACCACTTTCTCGGATCTGATTTGTCGGACTTACGCGGTCTCCCTCGATGGCGCTTCTCAGTGAGAACTTGCCTGAAAAACTTCAATCTCATAGCTGTACAGGGGAGAATAACAGATGATTAAAATGACACACCCGGCATCATTCGTCCCCTTAGATTGGTTTACTTTAGACGCTTCAGAATAATCAGACTTCTCCGACGATGAGTTGTTTTCCTTCAGCGTTCCATTATTCAATGCTACCTCGTCCATAGTGCCTTGTTCAGCACTGAAAAGTACCTCTGACAGAGCACTACCAGAAATATTGATAAAATTTGACTCTTTCTTGGACTACAATTCATTGGGCTGCAAACGAAAAAATCTCAATGAAAAGAATGGCTAACCTCGGCTCCAACGGTCGCTTCTTAGGGGGTCTCCCTCTTTTACCGGATGACACCTTCTTGACCTCGGGAGTGCTAAAATCAGTGTGTCAGAAGCACTAGATAAATCTCACAAATAATAGGTTTGTTGTAATCTTAACTGAACTTCTGACAACTTCTACAGATAACTCATTCTAGTTTTACCACCTTCAACTAAATCCCAAAATCATGCTAGAATGAATTCTGAGAGGTGGACAATTCCCTTTTAGCCACTGCACAAGATTTGCAACCCATACAACATCTCATTACTAGGTCGATCACGATTGCCTATACTATCGTTTAGCTAGATCAGCACACGTACATCCTCAAGAGTTTCATCCAAAAAGTCCTTTAACAAAAACCAACTCAGTTCGCCCTGACAAAAACTATTGCGCCTTTGCGACGATGGCAACCGACACCCGGGAGGGTGGCGCGACCGTCGCGCGGGACAATGGCACCCAATGGTGGGTGCCACCCTAAAATTTTCTTCTTTACCCATTTAAAACATTTTCAACATATCAGTAATTATAAGCAAGCTCCGTTACGCCTATGTTTAGCATATTTTGCAGAAATGTTTGTTACTAGCTAATTTATATGAAATTTTAGGATATGGCACTTCGCTCGGCGATGTATTAACTAGTGTTTTACATTATTAAGCTTAAGGTGAATTACAGATCAGGACCTCTACGTCTTTTCACAGTCTTAAGACACAAGGAGGAGTTTGAACTATATCAAAAATTCTACTGTACATTTGAACTTCTAGAGTTTTCAAACACCATCCCTTGAAATCCGAGATTTCTTTCCAAACTTCCACTTCTAATTCCAACAATACATGATCATAAAGCTTAAGACTGCAGTCATATTTTGTTTATTGTCATAGTCAAAATTTTGATAGAAAAACTGCTTTTAGGGACAATTTTGCCCCATTTTGTGCGAGAGTTGGGCGCGCCAAAAAGAGGCGTGGTCCCACGAGCACGCTACGTGCAAATCCGCATTGTCGTCAAAGGGTTAACAAAAAACCAACTCAGTTCGCCCTGACAAAAACTACTGCGATCGTAATTTCGGGGAACACGAAGAGGTGTGAGAATAGATCTAATGCAAGGTGAGTATAGGAAACTTCTGTAGACATACAATGTTTAGATTGGAGTACGAGAGAAAACAGGGTGTGACTCGCTCAGACGGAGAACGACTTCATCGCTTTTCGGAGCACAATCTTTTTCCTACACAAACTCGGGTGCATTCACGATGAGGGGTGGCTGGGTTTCCAGGGCAAAAAAATCGCAAGCAATCGCTTTCTGCCCTAGCGACTCGTATTCGGGAAACATTCGGCTATATCTGTCCAAGGAGAATAAATAAAAAGAACCAATCAATTCAATGAACTTGAAGTAGTTAAAAGTCAGATCAAACCTTCAAATGGTATCAAAAAATACGTGAACACACCTTTCAGCATCCTTTGACTTGTTTTTAGGAGGTCGGCCACGTCTCTTGCCACTGTAACAAGAACATTCATAAGATAGATATTGCTATTCATTCACACTTTTCACACATTAAAGACCACCTACAGAACCCGAAAATGTGTAGCACATTTCAACTCTTCACAACTAACCTTCCGGACGTTGGTGCAGATTTATTCTTGTGTTTCTTGCTCTTTTTCTCGCTATATTCTTCGTCGGACTCCGAACCACTGAAAGCAAGGGTTCCTCTTTCAACACAGATACGAATGCAAAACGAACAAGAGCACATCAAAAACGCACTCTGAATACTCAGCATATGCCCACGTTGATGGTCTTCCGCGCTTTTCTGACGAAGGAGAAATGGGTGGACTTGTGGAGTCACTAAACATATTCTTATCAAGAATAATATCGTTGAGATTAGACTGAAGGGATTTACAACTCGTACGGTAAATGACGATAGTCAACTTTGTCGAACAAAACATTCCCTTTTATAGGTCTTGTGTGAGTTGAGATGTCTAGTGAAAGGGAATGAAGCCTTCATGAACGCTAACCTGACTGCCTCTCTAGCCAATTCTGCCAACGACTTCCTTCCGCGTTTCTTGGGTAACACTGGTGTTTCCGAAGTATCATCAACGACACTAAAACCATTACATATATTCATCATCATACCAAATGTGAGAATAATTCAGAATGCATAAAGAAAAAAAAAAAAAAAAACAAAATAGTTACAGAAAATGGGAACTAGTTTCACGAAATTGCAACATACTTGGTAGACTGATCGGACCGCTGCGCCGATTTCGCTTTCGGGGGACGTCCACGTTTCTTTCCAGAGGATGCGGGAGTAGCAGCAGCATCGTTGGCAGGTGTCGCTCTAAAATAGTGTGTAAGCTTAAACCACAAATGGCACAGAGAAAACATGTTACGAATGGTTCAAATCCTAACAAAATAAAATTCTACAAATCATTGTGTTATAGCCCCTCAATTTACATACTATGGCACGCAGCATCCTATCTAGCAATAAGCAGCAATGATGAGACAAAAATCATGTTGCACAATGCACTATGGTAGACTTTCTCCGAAAAACAACACATCCAGGATCGCGCTTGGAGGCCCATCTTTGCTAAGAAAACTGAAGTCTGTCATTTTGAAGACTGCCTATGCCGTGTGGTATCGACAATGATTACTTTGATAAAAGAGGAGTAAGCGTAGCGCTACAGCATCCAAATGTCTCAGCAGGGAAGGCTTCCAAGTTCCCATGGAACCTGGAAGGCTGGTGTCAGAGTTTGCGATCCGTCGTAGATTTCGCAATTTCGCGCGATTCGCGCGGATCGCAAAAATTGCAAGTGCCCATTTGAACATTTGAAACACTGAATATGAAACAAGTAGAATCATGAACAGTCGTCATTCAGCCATCACCATCAAGCAGAAATGGCGGGGATTGGAGAGCACCTTGCAGTATTGATCGGGCACTTGTGTTCTGTGACCGTCGCGCGAATCGCGCGAAACCTGCGACGGGTCGCGGAGTCTGACACCAGCCGAATGGTCGCCTAGGTAAATCGATAAGGTCAAGAATACCACTCACAAATATGGAGTCTAAAACTGCTACGTGGACTTTTCAAGCAAGTTATTAGGTCAACTCATTC